CAGACAATGGGACAGCAAGCGGAAGAATGAAATCACATAAACTGAAGGGCCAGAGGAAACGTACAAAACAAGCCCGTGGAGGAGGAGGAGGGGAAGGAGGAGGAGTCACAGACAGCCACGCATGGATTTACACACATTTACTGAATGGAGAAGCTGGGCTAGCATTGTTTCCTCCACCGCTGGAAGAAGAAACCATTCAAGGCTGGACTTCCTGCCTGCCCTTGCCAGCCTCCAAGAATTCTTGAGGTTTCTTGATGAGTCAGATCCCAAAACTACTAATAATCCATGGATTAGACACCCTTTTCATGTGTGCCCAGTCAGAGGACCATTAACACAAACTGCTGCTGGAAGGGGGAAACACAGAAAGGTTACCAGAAAACATCATTAATTACAGCCAGGGAGGGTATAGCCACATGCCAGAGTGCCACTGGTCCATGCGTGACCCGGCAGAACCAGGGATGAGGAGCAGGAACAATGAGAGCGAGCCCGCATTCTCATTTAACGGATCATCAACACACACCATGACAACAACAAATAAATACTATCACAGTCCAGGACTCAAATGAAACCACAAATGCCTGACGCTGATGCTGGAGTAATGAGCGGCCAAAAGGGGAGGTCAGTCCTGTACACACGCGCTGATTCACACCACATGGCAGCCATGTGAGAGCAGGTCGGGGCAAGGAAACCACACGAAATTAAGGGGAAAAAAAAAGCTAAATACCGAGCTGTATTCAACAGCTCATTCAGGACAAAATTTCCTTAGATTTTGTGTATCAATAATAAATCAGCTTTGTTAAATCATGTACTACACTCACACATACAGCCACGCGAGCTCACACAGTAATATGGGCATTTCACCAGAATACCATGCACAGAACAGATGGGACTTCTGTGAATGGGGGCGATGACAGAGCTTCTAGAAATAAAGATCATCTTGCGGGGTGATGCACTGGTAGGTGGTAGAGCCCAGCCTCAGTCATAAAAAGCAAAAGCTTGCAAGTGACCGTCTGTGGGGCAGGGTCCATACCTCAGTGCTACTGTGTAGGCTGGGCTTCAAACTGTAGCACTGGTCTGACTGGCTAATCTCCATATCTGCACCAATGCTCATTAGAGGGGCCACCTCTAGTAGACACTCCTACTAATCAAAAACATTACATCAATCCACAGCTCATCACAAACAACACACAAGATAAACACCCTGGAAGGTTAAAACTAACCAACATATGGACTAAACATCTGCTTCTACCCTCACTGAAGCACTCCTAGCCTGCACCGTCTGCAGACTTTGCTTACGCATGCAAATGGTACCATTTGCTAGACGCCAAGAAGTCCAAAGCCCCATCTCCAGTGCCGTTTGAAAAAAAATCAGTCCTTCAAAAGAAAAGCAGCTGAGAGCAGAGGGAACATCCACCGCATTCTGCTTGTGCAACGGTAAACCCACATGTGTTGACTAACTGACCTCATCACTATAGATCAGCCACAACACAAGTCAAAGCCAGAAGCCTTAACATCTTATCCAGTGTGAGCGTCTTATCAGAGGGGCAAGCAGGAAATTAAAAAGCCACAAAAAAATCTCAGCTGAGCTATACAGCTTAATACAGCTTTAAATTTAACTTCTGCCTCTGGGTAAATGCATTTAGCAACTGACGCTAAAGACTCCAGCTAAAAACATGTCCCAACGGCATCTACTGCTGTTTTCCTAAATCCAAGGGATCTGCAAGTGCTTGAAGACAGAAGGGACGGAACATCTGCGCTGAGTCACGGGGGTCAAATGCCATGGCACCGTGGAGTCTGGACCTGCCCACGGCCCCAGTAACTCCCACAGACCCTATCCTGCAGGAAGAGCATACACAAACCAGGGCAGAAAATAATTCAGGTGTGCAGTAGGAGGCCAACTTTCTGTCCTTAAATGGCATGGGCATGGAAAATCTTAAATGCTTTAAAATCAAGCCTTGAACACATCTCTGTCCAGCCCAAGCTGGATTTTGGGACATGAAAGTTAACAACATGACAGGTCCACTTCAAGAGAAATCCACTCTTTCCAGAGAGTACCATAACAGCTGCCCCCAAACGGAAACTTAAACAATTCACTCTTGGCTAATGTTTTACCGAGGGTCCTTGAATTCCTTATATTATACCCCTAAGTCCCAGAGACTGCACATCTTTAATTAAGATCAGTAAGAGCATTGCATAACCAGTAGAGAATATGGACACGTTCCATAAAGTATGGCAACTTATAGGTACGGGGTGTTCCTATGGCAACCGAGAGAGACATATGAATAGAAAAGAGCACAAGTGCCTGTCGGACATCATTCCACCTGACTGTCGGTCTCACTGTGCTTCAGGCGTGGACCATGAGCCAAATCATATGGGTACGGGCATGTGATCAGCAGGGAATCCTTACATGGAGCCCAAGAGTCCAGCTTGGACAGGGCGCCCCCTTCCCCCGCAACCGCAGCGCAAAGCATGTGATTCCACTGATAAGCCAAACTGCAAGATAGCTTATCTGAAGCATACAGGGACCATATGGTCCCACATCCACTGCTGCTGCCATGACAACATGCCGGCCTGGAGCTGGCTAAGGCAGACGCAAGGCGATTTTGCCCCACGTGCACAGTGACAAGGTTGATGGGAGTCCAGCCCGGTTGACCAGAAATGCCCCAACAGAATGACCAAGCAGACAAGCCTCTTGTCACACAATCCCCCATGCCCAAAATCTTTCTGGAGCACAAGGCACGCTGTAAGGAGGTAGCACACATCTTGGGTTTCACAGCTGGGGGGTGCAGCAGTTACCACAAACAGGAGGGCAGTTAAACTTCACATTAGAATACATTAGAAGAGCATTAACTGATAGACAAAGTGAGAAAGTTATCCTCCTTCAGAACAGAGCGCCAGATCTGAGTTAGTCTATTATGGCGCATTTCCACTGGCACCAAGAACCGAGCCATACCGCAAACTGGCACTTTTTCATTGAAAGTATGCAAGCAGTACCAGAACAAGAAGCACGCTGACATGGCCCTGCTTTAGATAATCCATGGATTATCTGAAGGGAAAAGTGAAGAATCTATATATTATTCATTAATAGTAGTATCGCAATGTATTCCAGAAAACTCAGAACTTGAAAATTTCCAACCTCTAATTAAAAAAAAGTACTACAGAACAGCTAAAAGGAATGGATTCGTAATGCAAATTTACACAGGCGAACACTAATTCCAATAGCGTTTGATCCTTGCATAACACAGCGATTCTCACAGATGTGTTAGCGGAAATTAGCACACAGTAAAAAAAAGAAAAAAAGAACAACATTTACTCATAGTAAATGATGATGCTACATTATCTGAACACTAAATAAGCATCTCTTTTTACATCATTGTCACTCTCCAAACTTGGTAACACCTTAACCAAGCCGACCTTTCTGCAGTGGTTTCCCAGCACTCAGCTGTACTCGTGGCACGGCTCAGTTCCTGTATGACAGTGGAAAAACACCATAAGTCGAGCAGGGGCTCCAGAACTGTGTGTGGCCAGGGAGAGCTGTGCCGCTTTAAGATTACTCATTTGCAATGGAGTCCAGACAAGACCCATTTGTCCCAGGTCTCAGAAAGTACACACCACACTCTCAGCAAGTAAACTAAGTACCCCATATAACCATCGACTAACTTTCTTCAGATCTGATTTCATAAATGAATTCCCTCAGTTTCTTCTGATTTTAACCAGGGGGGGGGCGATACAGCCAAGCCCCTGCTGCATTTACATCACCCCTGCCACATGTGAGGTAAGACAGTTCACCTGCCAGGGGTTAATCTGTTCACAGTGGTAAACATGGGACAGTTTAAGACATCAAGAAACATTCTCTAATATGTGCAGAAGGGCAGGAGAAGTAAAAATTAACCGCCAGAAAAGAGGTCTATCCCTAAATCGCAAAAGTACTTCAAGAAGATGTTTCTGGGAGCCAGCAGTGATCCAGAAGTCATTTCTCTAACATACTTCTCATACACCCAAATGCACACAATTCAACCCCTCAGAAATGTAATGGTGAATATCTAAGGTCCCCCAGGTAAACAGGTAACCTAGTAAAAAGGATACAGCAATCAAGTCTGTTTCCTTATACACAGCCAGCAACATCCAGGACATCTCCGTAAATGTACACCACACTGACCCTGAACTGTGAATTTTAAACAAGCTTCTGCCCAAGATAGTTTGACCTTAAGAGAAGTTAAGGGCTTGCGTCTAGCCACGACATACAATGTTTATACATAATGCATGTGGACAATTCCAGCGCGATACATAATGAAAGAGTACATTTAATCCCGGGCTATAGAGATATCATCACACCAACACCGGGATCACACAGGACATCAACATACAACGCTGGGGTCAATCTACAGAGCGTACTAGATAAAAAAATACTGAGTAAAGGGGAGTTTTTGGGAACATGGGTGTGTGAGGAGATGCGGGTATGAGTAGGACAGATAATACTGTAAACCACAAGGCTTGTTTAATTCCTCTCTTCTGCAAAGGGCTGCAAGGCGCTATGTCGCTTAGAAAGCCGAAGTTTGGGGGGTTTTGTAACAAATGATGGAAAGGAAGTGAAAGCCATCAAAGGAAACTCGGCATCTGAAGTGCTGCAACAGGACGGCGACAGAAACAAACCTCACAAACCACTGCAAGAAACTATTCTACAACCAGATACCCCCGATAAATCTGTCAGAAATACCACTGAGAAAGACGATTACAGTCACATAAAAATCGCTCGTTGGTGGCGTTTTCCCGGCACTCAGCTCTTTTTCCTTTGTCTTTAAATCCAGTTAGGGTTAGACCTCGTCATCAACTAAATAATCCCTTAATTACTGAGCACAAACTCCTATAAAGTTAAAAAGATAAATGGAAAAAGTGACCGCTTGCAGAAACTACCCTTTAACGACCCAAGATTTAGCCAGCAGACCAGGACGGAGTGTATGGGGATACCGCTCGTCCCCATAACCAATCGGGATACTCACGGCAAAGACGGCCGGTGTGATAAAGAATGGAAACTCCGGGCTATCCCGCAGACGCAACAAGTCCCCGGTGACAGCAGCGCCTCGTTCCTTGTCGGAGCCACTGCAGGGGAGAGAAGAGCGTCAGTCTTATCCGTCATCTTGCTGAAAAAGAAAATGGGCTCAATCAGTTTAAGCGGCGGCTGAGCTGAAGCAAAGCGCGTCCCGTACGGGCTCCGGGCCGCCCGGCACCCCTCACGCTCAGTCTCCGGCGCGAAAAAAATGCCAAAAATGCGAGAAATTTCGTTGCGACGGCGGGGGGTGTGCGGGTAAACTGGAAGGAGCCTGTCGGCATCCAGACGCGGGCTACCCGCTGCCCTCGCGGCCACCAGTGTCTCTACAACTCCGTTTAAAGCGGCAGGAAAGCCGCGCTAGTCCTTAACTGGAAACTTACCTGGAAAAACACCTCTTATGCTTATTTGTTTTTTTTTTAGTCTGCGCCGTCTGTGTGGTCTGAATCGGCTTTTTGTAAACTGTGTGAGAAAGTTATCAGCGCGTTTCCGGGCCGGCCGGGCTCGCGGACCCAAAGCTGCGGCGCAGTCACGCAGGGATGCCAGGAATGCCCGGAATTAAAGCGAGGAATGAAATGAACGCCAGAGACGAGTGCGCGCAGGGGCGGGGCCGCGCTGACGCAAGGCGCGAGCGCGATGGGCGGGGTCTTGGCGGGAGGTGGGCGGTGCATCCTTGGCCGGCTGCAGACGGTGACCTCATGCACGAGAAGTCGGGTTCGAGCGAGACCTGCGCGTGAACGGGGTGGGGGGTGGTTGTTGGTTTTCGCGCCAAAAGAGGGCTTGTTGGGCTTATTAAACCAAAAAATAAATAAATGCGGTTCATAAAAGATGGGTGATCGCACAAGCAAGTATCTGCAGCTGGCCACACCCTTCGCCGGTGCTGAACTGCTTCTCCAAGAATTACGCCTGTTATAATCTATCTTTTGATCAAAAGTGTTATTGTTGTTTCGTGCATTACGGTTCGTAAATAAAACTGAAGTCTCTGAACCCTAGATTTTGTTTTTGAAGAGACTCTGTGACTGAAAACTTTCAATTCGATTCAGATGCTTTAACTATTTTGTAAATTATTTGTCAGGTGCCACCAATGCATGTTGGGATGGTCTCAAGCCATATTGTGCAGTTTTTGACAGTTACTCAGGCTGGACAATATTCCGGGACCTGGCACCTCTGGGGAAGATCCTGTTGGGCTTTATTTATCTTGCTGGATATCTGCGTATTTGGTGATTGATGTCTATTTGTTGGGTTGTTTTTATTGTTTTAGGATGCAGCCATATTTTTACCTTCTCCAAAAATGAAAATGGAATATCTTCAAAAGTCATATTAAACACTTTTTTTTAAGCAATTTGACTTTCTTGTGGTCTGTTTACTCAGAATGAAACCCGGTGCTCTACCTGCTGTTGTGATACGTGATATTTAAATCAATGCCACGTATTCTGATGTCTTTAATCACACAAGGTCTGACGCACATCGTTTAAAATTTAAAACTGCCCGCTGCCTAAAACACGGACCACCAAAGTAGATAGGACTCACCTGTGGGACTTCCCACAATCCTAAAACTTGCCAGAACACCTTTATATACACCTAGTCTGACAGGAATCTATAGAAAGTTTTTTATTACCCTTGCATAGAAACGACAGAGATCTGGCTTGTCATCTATTTCAGGTTAAATTTTGAAAGTAAATCAGTTTTAATGGCCTCACTGGTTTACCACATTTATGCAATATTAAGAGCATGTTAATTTAATTAAATTTTGGGGACCATATTCCTTAGTACTTAGTCAAGAAGGTGGAGAGGATGACCATGATTTAGCAGACATTAAATAACAATATAAAATCGAGGCTACATTTGTTTAATCCTGTGGAGGTTGAAGAATAGAACGGGAAAAGGGGAACAGCAATTTCCACCTTCTTATCTGTTTTCACCTTAGCAACAAAGGCTGCTGTTGTCAATGTTTATTGACTCTGTTGGATAATAAAAAGATACAGCAGGCAGCACCTGGAAAGGTGGCAGTGAAAGAGGCAGGAAAAGCATTAATGCAGTACTCTGCATCCTCAGGATGGTTTCTCTTCCTACAGTCAAACCTCCTCCTCACTGCTCCTCAGGAAGGTCTTTCCTCCTACAGCCAGATCCCCCTTAATGCTCCTTCCCATGTATTTTCTCTAGATCTTGAAGTTATGTGACAAATCTGTATCGTTTAACAATTTGACAAGCATTGCGCGACTTCTGACTTCAATATTATCTGTTTACACAAGGATTCTTAGTGTCACAGTTGCGCTGCCAAGGGCTCCAGTATTCAGATAGATTGGAGGATTCCCTCCACTGGACATTAGAAAATGGCTCCATATCCCTTTCACCATTATTCTTGCCTTCACGCAAGATCACATGAATCAGAGGGTTTTGTCTCATAACAATCCAGCTATATTGTTGTTATGGTAACAGCCATGACATTATTAAGAAAAAATGGCAAAGCTTTACTTAAACTGCACCTTCAAAATGCCTTTATAGTGCATTCACAGAACATTCAGTGCCCCTTCATAAAGCATTCACAGAACATTCAGTGCACCTTCATAATGCACTGATAGAACATTCAGTGTCCCTTCATAAAGCATTCACATAACATTCAGTGCCCCTTCATAAAGCATTCACAGAACATTCAGTGCCCCTTCATAAAGCATTCACAGAACATTCAGTGCACCTTCATAATGCACTGATAGAACATTCGTAAGCAACATGTAAGTATACCTTAACATCCTAACATACCTTAACTGCTTTAGCACACATTAATAATAAACATATGGTTATAACAAACATTATAATCACATTATGGTTGTTATTAAAGTATATTAAAGCTGTTAACGTATGTTAGGATTACATGGTGCATATAAATATCCTATCAATGCATTATAAATGCATCATGAAGGTAAGCTGAATGTTCTATGAATATGTAATGAATGCAATATGATGGTACAGTTAATGCAAAGTGTTACCCAAAAATCCTTAGAACAGCAAGACTGAGATTTGGCCGACAGTGATTGACTGGTTCTGGCAATTCTACTAAGTATGACATCAAGTCCACATTGTGTTTTAACAGATGATTTTCTCCAAGTTCAAAATAAATTTTATTATATGTCCTTAAAGACAGAACAGGCCTTTTGTTTCCCAAAGAAAAAAAATCTGCTTACTTCACTGAGACAAGCTTTTTTGTTCTGTTTGTTGTGGGAGTACACAAAGAGGAGGTATTCAACATTTTCAATAATCTCTTTTCCAATTAGGGTCAGTGATCTGGAACCGTTCCCGGGACACAGGGGATGGGAGGTTGGCTACGCTCTGGGTGGGATTTCAGTCAAGTGCAGGGTGTGCACATAATCTGCACTCACTAATTCATCCAAACTCTTTGGTCACATGTCCAATCAGGAGGGCTGTATGCAAACTCTGCACACAAACGCGGTTTGATTCCCAAGTCCTGAGTCACGCCACTCTGAACAATCAGAAATTCTCTGACTTTAAAATCAATACTGCCACATTTATTCCTGACCATTCTCTATTGCCGCATTTAAATAAAAAGAAAACATACATTCCTGTATTGTGATATTTACACCGGGATCCTTTCAATCCTGGGTGACGTCAGGAAAGCTCCCTCTTCCTGGGAGTTATACAAAACTGCCAAATACCATCTGTCTGCACACAATGACAGGTTCATTTAATCACTGGCTTGAAAGTGAATAAGTTTTATTGGGTGTCGATTATTACAGCAAACAATAAAAGAGAGCAGTTGGAATTTCCCTGTAAGCATATTTCCCATAGTCCCAGAGTTTCTCCATGGGTCTCAACTCCACCTACAGTCTGTGCCTGACCACACCTTGCCACAGGATGGAAACTGGAGGGCTCGTGTGATTTCCAGGTGATGGGGCAGGTCTGCAGGGGTGTGATGCGTGATGGCCTGGGGCTCCCATAACAGACTGCTAAAGGTTTGTGTGATGTAGCTACGGTTCATCACAAACACTCTCAGGCCACTACGGGCTCAACACCACACACTGGTGTAGTATAGTGCTGAGTCAATGTTTATTTAGCTACTTTTAGAAATAAATGTAATAATTATGGCTTGTGCCATCTTACATATGCAAGCCGGCCGGCTGTAAGATGTTGCAGGCGAAATAAATCTCTCCTACGTCAGGCGCAAAGCAGTTGACCAGGTGGCCCTGACTAGCAGCGACCGTTTACTTCCAATCGACCTATCAGATTTCAGCTTGGCAGCCGGTCAGGGGCGGGGCACAGGACTCATAACGAGTGCCTGAAACCCGACACCGCCATGTGACGCAGGTGGAGGAGGTACGGGGCACACTTTCAGGTGTGCGGGCGTGTGTGTTCCAGAGTGTGCCTGGCCATGCTTGCATTTTCCAATACAGCAGGGAAAGCCTCACACACACAGTACACCTTTCCATATTTAAATAGAATTTTATGAGAAATTTCTCACTATTGTTTCACCAGTATATTTATTCGCCAAAATGTCTTGGCAGACCCTGGTAGAGCCTGGGCAGGTCACGGTCTCTCACTTCACCTTCATGGTTCCCATTTTATGAGCTTCGGTTTCCAAAAAAAGCTGACCTCATCACTAGTTGCTCCGAGTAACTAACTGATATTGTTAATATTCAATCGTTTGAACAAGGGAAACGTATCAAGCAGCTCGTTTTCAAGGTGTCTGCTGAATGAAACCTTCCACTGTCCTCAAACAAGCATCTTGTCTATGACATACTCTCGTAATATAACATCGTTTACTCACTTTCACCAGCTGAGTTCTTATTCTTTGAACTAGTAAGCAACTGCCAGGTTAACCTGATTCAAGTTCTGTTTGATGACAGTGTGGCCGATGCAAATTAAAATTTAGCATGTCAGAAGATGCCCTCTTGTGGCATGTATAGGAAATGGTGGAGCGAAGAGGACGGGTTTGGAAACACTGGTAGTGCAACATTGTGACTGCATGATGCCACAAATGTTTTGGAAATGGCTCAAGTACAATCTGTGAGAAAATTTCTCCCTTGTCACCAGACCCAATAGCCTGCAGAGATGCATTAGGACCATCAAGCTTTCAGTCACAGATAACAGTTAGAAGATGGGAACAACTGAAGGGGACAGACATCAGAAAGGGGGACAATTTCATGGTCCCACTAACCACTGACCCCTGTGCATTTTTCAGTAAATTATTTCTGAGCAATCTGTCTGTCTGTCAATCTAACCCAGCTTCTGCAGAGAAGTACAGAATGTGTCACACATATAGCTCATGGTGAGAAAGTCCAATCATAGGACAAAGCAGCACCAGATATACGCATCCAAATGGGGCTCACTGGGAACAAGTGGACCCCTCACTTGCATGAAGGACTGCACAGTGACAAAAGATGCTAACCCATAACAGCTGGGGATTTTGATGAACTACTTCATTGCACTTCCTTTCCCTGTGTTTTTGGGGGGTGCCAGTGAATCCAAGTCAGTCTACAGATGGGTCTAAAATGTGTCCTAGTTTGGCACACGAGGGCTGAAAATGGACAGTCAGCCAGAACTACAGTAATGGAAATGGGGAATAGACACCCCAGCAAGCATATTCTTGATGCAACATAAGTGGGATTCAACTGGGTTCAGGATAAGCTGCTTTTAACACAAGACGGAGGAGAGGAGGGTTCCTCCTCACTGATAAAAGGATGTTTACTTTGGGTGAGTCACATCAGAAGCTACGCGTCTGACTCATCGCTAATCTGCTCCTCGCACCAGGGATGATGGACATCAGGGGATCTGAGGTGCAGCATCGAGACAGGGTGAACGGCAGGTGGTAGCCTTTGAAAGGGCAGCGCAGTATATTAATAAAAGGACTGTGTGTGTACTATAATGTGCTGTATATCACATTTTACATGCACTTATATTATATGGAATTTGAGCAAGTCCCAGAAAAACACATTCCAATGGACGTAAACCACTGTATAGAGAGGAAGGACAATGTTTTACCTCTTTAGCCAAAAATACACCAAAAACAGTATACTGTATATACAGATCAAGTCGATGCAACCAACACTAGCTGTAAAAATATTTTTGCCCACCGGGTTTTTGGTTGGCGGCCAGAGTACGAGCAGGTAAGAGGGGTGGGGGGGG